TGTGTGTGTGTGTGTGTGTGTGTGTGTGTGTGTGTGCGACTAGCGTTTAAGGTCTACTGTTAAATAAATGTAATGAAAGTAATATGAAGAAGAAAGGTACACTAGCTGTTTCTTCTCTTGAAAGTGACATAAAATCACAATCAAACTTCATGTGGATATGTAGCCTAATTACGTAAGCCTGAATCAACGGCAGAGGCGTAGCCTTGTCCCAGGCTTATTGGGGAAATCTCTGGCCCAGGCCATTGAATAGGAGAGGGTTACTTCCCGTGTGCACAAGGCTAGATTTAATTAAATTCTTCTGGACACGGATACCAGTCTCGACAGTTTGATGAGTTTGGTGAAACAAACAAGGAACTAAATCATTTCGGCATAGTTTGTTGAGAGAAGAGAACGGGTTTTGGAGTAAGTTTGTGATAACATTATCTAGATTTAGATCTAGAATCTAGATTTTGGATCTAGATTAGATCGTCATTTGTGCTTGTGAGGAGAAGTTTTAATCCGTGGGCGTTGTGTTTTTCTTTCGAGAGAACTTCTGAAGGTTCTGATGCGTTGTAATTGTTGTAATGAACTTTTTGATGGAAGTTAGAGATTCTAGTCTAGTATAGATCATAGATGGCATGGTCCTATTAGAAGAGTCTAGATCGAGATCTAGATATAGATTCTAGATCTAAATCTATATGTCAAGAATAGATTCTAGATCTAGAATCTAGATCTAGATCTTTTACTGTGTAGTTGTGTAAGAAGCAAGGAGAGCAACCAGCTTAAAAATGTAGTGCAGTTGTCTTTACCACTGACTTCCCCTTGTTGTTTTTTTCTCTTTGGCTTTATATTTAATTTATATCAACAATTTGGTGCTTTTTCGGCAGTTCCCACCCCCCTTATTTGAGCCTAGATCTACATCTAGAATCTAGGTCTATATGTTTGATGCGCGGCAACCTAAGATATCATACCTAACAACTGCAAAATTATGGTAAAATCAGGGGGGGCGTGAACCATGCGAAATTAAACGTAGAAAGACGCAAACTATTTTTAGGTACGGCGCCCATTTTGTTTGACGTCACACTAGGATACCCCTCCGATCACGAGACTACATCTAAGTATAGCCAACCGCATGGCACCCAAGACACTAGTCTTGGATGGCACCAAAGATGGAAGTGTCTATACTATGTAATATATATACGCTTTTAATCTACACCACGCTCTCGGAAGTTCTGATGGCCGAATAGACAGCGCGTCTGCGTTTGAAGTCATGCAATGGTTTTAGGAGCGGTTCGATTCCGGTCCCGGACTATATTTTTTTTCTCTTTTCCTCCTCCCGACTGACCAACAGTCCCATAAATTATAATTTGTAGAGCTGCTTTGAAGTTTGTTTGTTTTTTATGTATTTAGTGATGAAGAATGCAGGAGAGGGGGGGGGGGGGGGGGGGTAGATCTTCTAATATAGAATCCTCCAGAGTCTTTACGGCAATTTTCATACTCTTCCATCTTTGGTGCCATGCAGTGGCTATACTTAGATATAATGTAGTCACGTGATCGGAGGGGAATCCTGGTGTGACGTCAAACATGATGGGCGCCGTACCTAAAAATAGTTTGCGTCTTTCTACGTTTAATCGCATGTGCATGAACCCCCCCCACCTTTTATGCCTTATTTTTATTAGGTCAGGGGGGGCAACTGAAACCTACCTACTCTTGGGGGCCAAAACCCGCGAATAACAATGGCGGGATGGGAACTACCGAAAAAGCGCTGACAATTTTATCGACGTGAAATCCACTTCCCAGAGCGTGTCGATATAAACGGATTACTGTATGTATACTATATTGATTAAAAATCCTTGGCTGTGGGTGGTTTCCTCTGATTTTAAAATGTTTACCTAATACATGTAATATCTCTTTTAACACTTTCCACCCACGCAGCGCGCCGCGCAACACATCCCCATGGGCCAGGATACAGGTGCGGTACATGCTAGCGCACGCCGGTGCCGATCGGCATCCTTTGGGGGCAAAGTGTTAATTTGAACAAGCCCATCACTTTTTTTTAAATTGCGAGATTATTTTTAGTGCAACTTTGAGTGCAAAAAGTGTGCACTATAAAATAATTTTGTAACTAAATCTTGATCTAGAGATACTAGTTTTGCATATCTAAAAAGTGTCATTGGGTGAGCTGTGACGTATGCTTTGCATACCCAAATGTGTTTGAGAAGCGGGATGTGCTGTGGACAATCCCATTTTGACAGGAAGGAGCATGTGGTAAATTGATTATTAAGAAAAGTTTTTAATCTAGCCTAAATTGTGGTGGAAATTTGTTTTGATTTTTTTGTATAATAAAAGTGTTTTACGGCTCTCACAACTGCATTAAAGGTCGTGAGCGCATGGGACCCATCGAACATTTTCAGTTGATAGGAAATTTTGAATTTTGTCTGGGTGCGAAGCCTACTCTTATCGATTTTAGACCACCAAGGTTAATCTGATCTGTATGCTTTGCATAGCAGTCTGTCAAAATGATTTTTTAAGAAATACTGAAAGTTTCAAGAGCTTCGTACGAGAAGTATTCTGAAATGTGAAGAATTATGAATACAACCCTGGGGGGTACAAAATAACCCCAGGGCGTACGGATAGGGTCTCAAGGCCACAAGAGCCCCCTGTGGTGAAAAAATATGGTTAATAAAAGTTAGGCCAGATGGATACAAACAGCTGTGCAAAATAGGGGTGACATTGATTCTCGAACATGCGGCCTTATTCACCAAACACAAAAAGAAGCATCATGTGTGTGTGTATATTTTGAAAATTCATGATGATAATAGTATTGATAAACTAAACTTATTCAGGGGGCTCTCAGTCTCATGGCCGAGAGGTTAAGGTGTTTGCCTCTCACTATAAGTCCCGGGACAGAAATTGTTTTCTTCTGAAAGAATTGTCTCCTTTCATGTCCTTTCCTGCTGTCTAGTAATGTTCTTTTGTCTACTTTCGTCTCCACTTTCTGCCCCCCCCCCCCTTTCACCTCCTGGGCCCCGTCCTCTGGGCTCCTGACTCTTTCTGCAGCTTTTCTATTTCTACTTCTACTCTTTGGCTCCTCCTTACTACTGTACTGCCGCACTGTCTTTCAGCCACACCTCTGATCTTATGGTAGGAAAGATCTACACCTAGCCTTCTCGGACAAGGGCAAAAAATCTCGGAGGTCCTTTGTGCAAGTTGGTGGTCCAACATCGATAAGAGTAGGCTTCGGCTGCCACCTGGCAAAAATTAAGAAATGTTTCCTACAAACTAAAAATGTTTAGTTTCCTGCACTCATATGACTTTACGCAGTTGCGAGCGCCGTAAACCACTTTCCGGTAAAAAAGCAACAAAAAAACCACCTTATAATTCAAAGAAGAAAAACTAACACATTGAAGTTCAATTGCAACATAAATTTATTGAACATACTTTTACACACCATCAACACATTGGTAGAATTCTGCTGTGTATAACAACATTGGCACATACTGCAGTAAAGCCTGTGAAATGAAATGCTTTTATTCATGTCCATTGACATCATGTATGAAACATGCATTCATTCATACAAAGTAGTGAATCTTATGGTAATAGGACAGAGAAAAACAAATGTAGTAAAATCCTCTGTCTTGATTAACTTAAAAGGCTGAGCTCATAAGATCATATTATACAAGGTATGACATGTAATACATGGCCATTAAGACCATTGCAAATCAATTGTTTTTAAGTAAATATCAATCCTAATTGCCAAAACATTTGCTCATGGTGAAATGCCGGGGGGGGGGGGGGGGGGGGGGGGGTAAACTCCCTAGATTCTTTTTGGGTCAGGAGGGCATGCCCCCATGAATCCCCCATGTTGTTAACACTTTGCAGGTCACGTGGCACAATAATGCGTCGGTGAAAATGATCCGTTCCGGTCACCTGGCACAGATCTGCGGTAGGCCCGAGAAGTCTGTTGCAGTCACTCTCCTGGCCGGGTGACCTGAGGGGGTATTTTGTACTGTACTGCTGGCTGTGTGACTGGAAAGTGTTAAAATGAAGTCAAACATTACTACCCCATTAGGCCTATTGTAATATAGTTTGTAAAATGATATCCATAATGTCATAAACTAATAGTTTGCAATGGAGGTAAAGTCAAACTTTGTGTAAGTTACGCAGATAGAAATGAACCAAAAAAATGCTTTATGAGATTGAAACAGGTCCCTGAGTAAAATAATACTGGGGGTGGGCACTAGTCGATACTGGCCAATACTGAGTGCTTTATCAACTAAGAGAGCTCAATATCAATTTGAGTACTATGTACTATGTATATGAGCATTATAATGAGAAACATTGCAACTCTGCTGAAAGTCAATCTTGAAGTCAGATATATATGCTGATGCCCACCCAAATATATTATGTTTCAAGGCGAAAAACTTCTTTTGAAGAGCGAGTTAATTAAAATCCAGTCCAGGCAGCATCAAAATGATCTGTATGTGAGGCATCATGGTGTCAAAATAGTGAAATCGAAGAAAATGGTATTTTTCTTCCTGTAGGGCAATTTTTATCTAATTTTTACTTTTTGGCTCAAAACCTTTTATGGCTAAATAAAATACATTGCTGCTGTGTGGATTTTACTGAAAAACAATAATTATAATTAAAGCCAAAAAAATGCAGATTTACAGTTTCCAATGGCTGTCAAGCTTTGGAAGTCTCCAAACTTTGGCAGCCATACTTTCGCTAATTTTGCTCCAGAAACCAGGTGACCCCCACTTCGTTCAAACCAAACTATCTTGACTCCTATTGAAGCTAAATAGATAAATTTTTTATCAAAAGCAAGACAAAAGAACTAGCTTTAAGACAATCCAATAACTCTATATTTGTGAGGCAGCGTGGTGGAATCAGGCTCTCGTAAATTTTTGGGCATGTAGAGTTATTGAGTATCATCTTAAAGCTTGTTCACTTGTCTTTATTTGGATGACAAAAATATCCATTTAACTTGAATACAAGTCAAGATATCTACAAATGAAGGAGGTGGGGGATCAACTGTTTTCAGAGGTAAAAGTAGTGAGAAAATAGCCGCTAAAGATTAGTTATTTCCTTAGCTTAATTAAAAGAGTCCGTGGTAACTGAAAATTTACATTTTTTGTGCTTTTAATCAACGTTTAAAAAAAAAATCCACTCAGAAATGTGTTCTTTAATGGGCATGAAAGGTGTTGAATCAAAAAACAAAAATTTGATAAAAATTCATAAACCTGCAGAAAAATGCAAGTTTCTTCACTTTGATTATTTTGACGAGAGCCTGATTCCACCACGCTGCCTCACATATGTACAAAAATGACGAACGCCTGATTCTACTGCGTCGTGACACATACTATAAAGAAGACAATGGCGCAGCATATTGGAGCTAAAGAGATTACAACTGTTTACTATATTCTTACTGAAAATTTAAAAAAGGACACCCTCTGCAGGCAGGCTTTTGTAAGTGGGAGTGAATGTGCAAAAGAGAGAGAGTGAGAGAGAGAGAGAGAGAGAGAGAGGGAGGGAGAGAGAGAG